TCAAGCCAAAGTTATCAAATAAATACCAAAGAGTGTTCTAGAGGACGACGTGAGGATATGAGGGATGACTTGCCTAGAGGTGGGAACTGTTAGGAAACGACCCGGTTGCACAGCGGAAAACAAAAATTTTATACAACCGTAGATTGTTCCTTAAAGCACAAAATCAAGGCACAAATTTTACAGTTTATGTATAATATCAAGAATCTGCAGAAAATAAAATAAATCTAAAGTTTAGATTCATACCCACATTGGAGGCTCCACCAATATTGTCTCTGAACGTGTTTGCTACCGATCCAAGTATAGGATCGAACCAAGAAGTCCACACGAAGACAACCACCAAGAACCAAGGAGGGATTTGCTAGATCCTCCTTGGCCTTAAGAAATCAAGAAGAAAAGAAATATTTGATTTTTCAATCAAAATAGTGAGAGTGGCATGGGAGAGTGTGTATAGGCTGTTGTGTGTTTGTTTTAATTGAAAATGAACTAATAAAAAAATCCCTTGTTAAATTTCACACACACATTTTCTTTTATAGGCAAACTAAGTTGCCCTATTCCCACATGGAATGGGATTGGGCTCCAACCCAAACTCCACATGTTGCCAAACACTACAAATTAAATATTTTAATTTAATTCATCATTATCTCAATTAAAATCAATTAATATTTAATTAACATTTAACAATAATGATGATTTAATTAAATATGTGCGAACACACATTTAACCATAATTTCACTTATTTAATTTTTCTAACAAATTAAATAAAAGGCTACGACCTCAGCAAATTTAATTGCATTGTAAAATTACCAAAATACCTTTTCGCCTAAAAAGACGAAAACATCCTTCTTTCTTCTTGGCTCTTAAATTATCTTCTATGTGTGTCACCCATAGGCTCCTCATCATACCGGCAGTGTATAGTATCGCAATTAACACCAATTAATCGTCTTACTAATACACAAACCAAGATTGGCCCCTAGCAAGGCATCATGGCCACCCGATAGATTCGGATTCAGCAAAGCAGTTACCTGTCAATGATATGGTTACAGTACAATTCGATCCTTTCATCATACGTTATCTCGACGAGACGAAGGCATAGAAATAGTGTCAACCTTCGGTTACTCTAGATATTATATATTCAGTTTCTGGACCAATGACCCGTATTATAATCTGGATAGAGCAACAACTCAATCCCACTGTGGCCACAGTTTTAGTGTCATTGCCATATACTGAATTGCGCCATGAGATAACTTCTCCCGTACCCGGGAGTGATGAATCCTCTGTCAATCCGCCATAGTCTTGATACACTCCTTGATACAGCCAATCACCACCGTACTGACAGCTCTGAATAGAACTGCGTTAGGCTAGTGTCAAACTGTACCAATCGGTGCACAAGGCGCTCTGGTGATCTCAAGTCTAAGGATCACATGCACCACCATTCGTTAGAGGATTTATTCTATAGACACTGGGGTTACCATCCATATGGAATCCTCTGGTGGGTCAGTCCAGTGAACTTACTGTGGTATATCCGCCTACAACAAGCACCCATGTGTTGCACCAGGTTGTCACCAAACAACCTTGACAAGTGAGATCAGTCACTGCCTTTCGACAGGGTCGTTCAACAGTATGATAGCGTTACCGTATTATCTGTGCCCTTACTTCAGAATAATACTGGGGCTACGAACGTTTCTAGAATGGCCACCATATGTGCTCATAGGGTTCTCACTATCAAGATTTGAAACACTTGATACCTTCGTCACAGTTCTACCATTCTAAGGATATATATCAATACATATTGCAATAATCATGATTTACGCGATATAGGATAAAATGCCTTTTATTATTGATTAATGAACATTATTACAAAGAGTCAATTCTACAATAATTGATTGGCACTAGGGCATCTACTCTAATAGGAACGATGTTTTGAGATTAAATCTTGCATTTTCATTTTTGGTCATGACTTATGTCATGCCTTAAGAGTTTTGTTAGTCCTTATACAATTATTTGCTAGTTTTGGCACATCAAAACACAAAAGGGTCCAACAGTTTTGTTGGAGTTCTAGAAAACAAGAAGTTGTTGCTCAAACCAGACCGGAAGTTGAATATGTTGCTATAGAAACTGCCACCAATCAAGGGATGTGGATTCGGAAACTTATGAAAGACTTTGAAGAAGAACAAATGGAAGCACCAGTGATTGCTTGCGACAACAAATTTATTATTTCTATTGTGGAATATATGGTCCAACATGGAAGAACAAGCATATCAACATCAAGAATTATGCAGTTCAAGAAGCAGAGAAATTGAGATAGATCAAAATGGAGTTTTGTAGCTCTGAATTACAAGTGGCAGATATATTCACAAAAACTTTGCCAAATTCAGGATTTGAAGTGCTAAAGAATTTGCTTGGAATGAGCACCAAAAAGATTCAATGAGGAGTGTTTTGGTGAGTGCAAAACATGTGATACCCCCATATTTTTTATAAGTTTTACTAAGAATTTTTAATCGTAATTTAGGGTGCAAAGTGAAAGGATTTGGAACCTTTGACGGAGGAAGGTATCACAACTGAAACATGGAAAGACCAAATTGAAATTTGCCTGAGTAGTACGCTATAGCGAGAAAAACTGCTCAAAATCGCACAAAAATACACAAAAAGTAGCAGACCAAAAAACAACGCTCAAGCACAAACAACAAGCAAGGATCTATTGATTAAATGACTTTTCAAAATGTGTTTTGATATCAACTGAAAGTTTATGACTTAACCAAGTTCATTAAACTTCTGCAGAATAAATTAATCATGTTCATTTGTGCTTATAGGCTTGTCCATTCCTCATCAACACATTCCTAAACATCCAAGACATAAAGTAAAGCACAGAAATGGTTTTTACATGGTTCGCCCAATTCCCTACATCAATGGGACCACATCCAAATGTAGCAAATCCACTATAGCTAACATTCAAGGTTCATTACAAAGTTATAGTTAAGCAAACTAATGTAAAACACTCCCTATTTTTACAAAGCTCTAACTCCTTCCTTTGGATGATCCACCGTCTTGCCACATCTTGAATCCAAGGCACCTCTTGGATAGCTCGAGCTCCACTCAAGCTTCAACACCGAAGGCGCACTCGAGCTCCACAACTTTAAGTCCCATTAAGCTTTTCATCAATGGAACCACGCACGTTCCAACAACAGCCAAACAACAAAGGTTAACATGGTATTTTAAAGCTTACTAAAGCATAAGGGAACCTAACCAAATATGAAATCAACCTCAAAGGACTTTCAGAGAAAAAATAAGAAGAATATTCAAGTTCAAAACATAATGCAAGGTTGATGAAGAGCATAGAGAAAACTTGCACAACAATCTATTAGACAACCAGCCGACAATCTCTTACAATGTACAACTATTTTTCAAAAGTTTTCAACCACTTTCTTTGGACCACTTCTAAAAATTTAAACGGATTTCTAGCACCTCATCTAAGATATTAACATCTTTATACGGACCACTTACACATATCTCAGGTCTAGAAAAATATCCTAGCAACAAATGCAAACACAACATTTGTATGAAAGTCTAACTGGATGACTGTTTGCACACTAGACTCTAATGTGCCCACATGTTTTACAATAAAAACATACTAACTAAGTGTGCACATACCAACACAGAGTATCATGACAATTGAAAGCTACAAAAACGATTGTGCTTAAACAATATGATGTGCAAACATCAAAACGTAATGTGCCCAAACAATTTCATAAGTTGACAAAAATACTTTTGGAGGTCAGAAGTGAGACAAGCAAGGACGGTTGTGGAATATTCTAATCTAATGATTACTAGCAGTATAATTTGATTGTATAGTATTTAATCAGTGTGATTAACAAGGAATTAATATGTTGATCAGCTTGGTTCGAGCCTTGTTTACTCAGTACTTTAAGCCATTTCAACGACTTGACTTGAGAAGCCGAAAATTCTTCCAATAGATAACCTTGTCGACGCTTATATGTGACGGATCATTTTTTGAGAACGCAATTTATCCTCTTGGATAAGAACATTAAGATGCTTATTCTAAGGATTGTGAATCCTTTCTTGGAGAAGGAATAAAGAAATAATATAGAAAAATTTATGATACAGACAATCACTTTTGGTTTGGATATTCGAATAATAGTTTCGCGATAAACTAAAAGTACTTTTGCAATTCTGAATTTGGATGTTTTATTCTGAAATTCCAAATGGACGACTCATAGCACATTATAATTTATAGAAAGAATCTTTCTTGGTACCATAATGTCATAGTATCTTTATTTTTTTCTTCTCTAACTTTTTGGTTCGATTTTTTTTTTTTTTTAACAAGATTAATGGAAAAAAAACAAATTAAATCATTAAATATGTTAAAAGTAATTTTTTATGGACTTGGTGTAGCACAAATCCTTCATAGTCAATTAATCCATCCGTAATAAATCTCGCTACATTAGCAAAAAACAAAAATCAGGCGTTTGACCATTAAGAAAGTAGTTGTAAACAAAGATCCTTTCATAATATCTTTGAAAGTTGAGAGGTGGAAATTTCTTATCTCTAAATGTGGCATCTATTATTACGTCCTTAAACAGTGGAAACTGTTGCTAATAATTTTTAATAATTAGCAAAAAATTAATATAGAGTTAAACGATGGCAAATTTGCTATTATGTGGAAAACTTAAGAGTTTTCATAAAACCATACTTATACATAAATATTTCGGGAAGTTTTGATTGTCGACATATATAGAGGCAATATTGGACGGTGTATAGATCATGTTATCTAGTGGTGGGAGGGAAGTGAATCTCAATTACCCTTTTGAAATAAGATAGCGGACCAAGATTCTCATGAAAAGGAAAAAAAAAATAAATCCACATTTTGTAGAAGGAATAATGTAATGTATGTCTTATCATAGAATAAATCTTTTTGTATGATAATGATATAAACGTAATCAATTAGACCATCTCATCCTATAAATTCTAGGTCTCCATGGGCAACAAGAATCATCAGTAAGAGTTACTTGGAATTAAAGAGAAGAGTGATTACGAGATGGCTTCAGCTCAAGTTCAACTCCCACACAACCTCCATGCCATTCTTAAAGAAGGAGACTCCCAGATTGACGCCTCCTGCGACAATCTGATTGAACAGCTCCAGGGTGGAATCTTCTTGAACCAAAACAAACTGGCAAGTAACATCTTCATTGTTGTTTTTATTATAATTTTGCACCAATTATTTTCAATACTAATACTTAATTAATGTTTTACTGCAGAAGTTTTGGGTTGACAGGCTTTTATGTGCCAACGCCTTCGACATTCATGCAAGGGGTCTCTCAATCACTTGGGGAGATGACAAACGTTACTGGAATTGGACTTACAAGCCAGACACACAACGGTATTTATATATCACATATATAAATATTGGTTTTCTACCTTATTTATAGTCAATGAAGATTAATTTATCAAATAAATTATGTTTTTGCAGTTGTGTTCAAGTGGAGGTGGCTGAACTATTGAATGTCTGTTGGCTTGACGTAAGCAAGAAATTCCCTGCCAAAAACCTTACTCCAGGGATAGTTTACCAAGTTTCGTTTGTTTTAATGATGAAGAATGGAGAATGTGGATTTGCAAATCATCCGGTGAACTTGAAACTCGTCATCCCCAATTACCATGAGACAATTGAACGCAAAGAAGATTTGAGTAAGTTGCCCAAGAACAAATGGTCAGAGGTCCGAATTGGTGAGTTCCTTACATCTTGCAATATGACTGGGGATATGGAAATCTCGATGTTTGAACACGAATCCCAATGGAAGAGTGGGCTGGTTGTCGACAAGATCGTCATTCACCCAGTGCGCCGGCAGAACTAAGAATGAGGATGATCAGCAGCGAGACATATGCAAAACTAAAAGTTTCTAGATACTAAATAATTTAGTTGGCATGCGTCTCATGTTGTACTCGTAGCTTCTCACTATACTTTGTAGTAAATAAAAATGTGAGAATTTGCATACGGGATAATAAATAAAAGCGTAATTTATCTGAGGTTGCTTCATCAAAATTTCCCGCATTCTACTTGAACACTAGTTTCTTGGTTCTACATACATATATTAAGCCTGGGCTATTTGAGAATGAATGAAATGCATACAAAAGGAGAGTCCGTAGAGGTGGTTGACCATTTTAAAATAATATTCTCACACTTTCAAATAGCATACAAAAAAATTAAAAGATAGTATCTCCATATTGTTGTGAATTTTGCGGAAGTGTATATATCAAATATCAATTTGTTCATTTTAAAGCCTACATCCATAGATGACTGAAGAATATACTATTGCCACGAAAATACAAGAGTATAACTGTAAAAACCCCTTCCAGTTAGGTATCTTTTGAGGGATACCTGTCTGGAGAACGAGTTGTATTTAGAAAAACCCTGTGTGAGGATAACAATAATAATATCCAAAACATTCATATAAGATGTCACGCAGGATCCAAATTTATAATTTCAAAAACTTTCAGAATTTATCCGGAAATTACACAATCAAAACATATTTATAGGGTGGAAGCTTCCAAAGGTGTTTCACAAGCATTTATCATTTACATTATTTACATCAAGATAAAAACATCAGGATGACAATAAATCATCTCCCCTCGCATGCAGCCCCATTGTCTCTAGCATCTTTTGCTTCTGGTCTATCTGCAAAGCAATCAACAATGAAAGGGTGAGTGCTAATAGCTCAGTAAAGAATGATCCATTTCATTTTAAATATGCTATTTGACCTTTATTTAAATATATTTGTTAACACACCACTTATTTTTTACATCTAGATATACTTCCCTTTTTTTGTCTAATTCATATGTTTTTCATCATTTTATCCCATGGCTATATACACATCAATGCATACACATACACATAAGTATGTAAACATAGTACACACACATTACATATCATGATATAACATCTAAATATCATCTAATATGAGTATACATCATCCCATGATGTAAGTAACACCATAACTCATGTAATGCAACTAAAGGCATATGAAGCATTTAATGTGTAGCCGATCGAACTTTTCTTAGCTTCTTAAGCATTTCATATCATCTAGCCTCAAATTCATCTAGAGCTCATATCATCAGGAGGCGTACTTACGCGTTATTTAGCATCTAAAGCATATATTCATCCTCAACCGGTATACAAGGATCTGCTTACGCATTTTTCATCATGTCTATATGCATCTCTAACATCTTATGGCATGTAAATACATATTTTAGTGAGCTTAATACTTTTAATTCATCTATGGATTATCAATACATTCACATTACCTTTTACTCACATTCATCATCTTAAAACATGTAGTACATTGCATCTTCATGCCATTTCATAACATTAATCATGCATTGACATCATGACCATGTATATCTTTCAAAGATCATCTAACTAATGGGTAAACATTAGTACATGACTTAATTACATCAATATATAATCAATTCATAATCATAAGAATTAATTATGTTAAATCTTAAAGTTTAACAACTAGAAACTTATACTTCAGGCCATTTTCCATCCATTTCCTAAACGAATTTTCTCTTGGTCTAAACATAAAAGTTATAGGGATATCTCTTAAATTTCTAGTGCTTCAAGAATTATCTCATTTTGATTTCTATAACTCAAGTTATGATCGAGATACTGAAGCATGTTTAACATAACCCCTAAACTTACCAAATCCGAATTTTTCATATTAAACTATGTCATATCAATTCCTATTGACAATTAACTAATAGGTCAACTTATTGATAAAATAAACCTCTCCCTAATAGTCTTTAACATCTTAAAGGAGGTGTAAAATCTCATTCCCATAATCATCCATTATTGTTATAACATTGTAAGCTAATGCAAACAACACATCAACACTTCTAATAGTAACCATTTAACACCATGTGGCCTCCAATACTACAAGTTTTGCCACAATCAACATCCACACTTCATTTTCTTCAATCAAACATAAAAACTCATAAAACATAAATAGCAACAACTTCATGTATAATGAATTCAAGGCAATGAATAGAATAAATGAGTTCAACTACACTTGTCATCAACTAATTTTATGCCTTAAAGCCTTAATTTAAGATTTCATTAAAATCTACAAACCCTAGCATAATCCCTAAAGTCATAGGAGGTTCTTCCTTACCTTTTTAAAGAATTCCTCCAACAAATCATTTGCCTTTGTTTTCTTTTACACCTTAATCCTACATATATAACATTATACCTCAACATTTACTTCAAATCTTCAAATCACATCAAAACTAGGGTTTTTAATCCATACCTTAAACCCTTTAATTTGAAGATCTAAGGCTCCTATCTTGTTCTCCTTGAAAAATTATGCAAAACACCTTTAAAACTTAGAGAGGGAAAGCTTGTTTCATAGAAGATTTGAGAGAAAATGGAAGAAAGGTTGAAGAAATGCTATCTCCCTTGGCTTGAACGAATTTCCTCTCATTTATAGGAAAATATTTCCTTCATTTTCAAAATTATGCTATTGGCCCAATTATTTTAATTGTATAACTCATAAGTCCTTAATTCTTCATATAAGGGTATTTTGGTCATTTCGCACTAAACATAATTATTACATAATTAATGTCATTAAATGCAAGTAAGCCTATTCATCCTTGACTTTTTCAATGTTTATCCATAGGAAAAATGAGAATTTTGCCCCTAATACCTTTTTATGGACAATTGATTCATACCGTTCCAAATGAATTGACTATTTTTCACTATTTTGAGTTAGGAACATACCTTTGGCATATAGGATATTACAATAACACATAATATAACCCCAAAGGAATGGTATCTTAATACCTATTAGAAGTGTCTAAAGACAAGGTCAAATCATATGATACCTACCATAGCCCCAAATTGTTGATAAATTTTGTGACGCCGTCATATAATTCTCTCTCTAATGAGCTAACAACTCCTGATCGAAAATATCTTTCTAATCCTTGTAGGAATTATATTCTTATTTCTTGTATATTGTATTCATATTTTGACAAGTTATCCTAAAAGAAACTTAAACTCAAATAGTTCAAAAAATCAAAAGAGGGAAATGAGCCAAAATCCTCAACACATATCAAAAGAGAAATGTAAATTTATGTTGAAGGTAATGAAGCCAACTTAAACGGTTTAATGCTTTATATTTTGATATTTGAATTCGTGCCATGACTATTTGTAAAATTACACAAAATTGATGAGTTGCTTGCTTTTATTATTTTTGTTATAGTATTGAATACTCCTGGTTTAAGTTTTTCTGAAGTTTTAATACTTTACCAAGTAGATTAAACCTAAGTGGAATGGGTTGTTAAGTTGATTTTAGTGTTCATTCATCACCATTACAAACTAGACATTCATGAACCAAAATAAAGCACACCAGAGGATTTTAAATGGTTCAGCAAAATGCCCACATCCATGGGACCAAGTCTAGATGAAGCCAATCCAGTATTGTAATCATTTACGGTTCAATTCAAAGCTAAAGTTAAGCATCAGTTGCAAGGTCACTCCCTATTTTGCAACGCTTCAACCTCTTCCCTTTGGTCGAAATTCAAACTACCACGGCAAGTTCCACGTTCATGAGACCACCTGGTTAGCCTTGAGCTCCTCTCAAGGTACAAACCAAAGATGCCATTCAGCCTCAAAAGCTTGAAATCCTATCAAGCATCACCAATGGAAACCCACATTCCAGCCATGAATAAATAAAAAAAGTTTATTCAAGGTATTTGTAAGCCTACCTAAGGCATATGAAACCTAATTCAAAACAAAGAAACCTCAAGGAATTTTCAAAGTCATATCAAAGATATATTCAGGCTTAAAAGGAGTTGTATTGGAGAAGACAAATACATAGAAAACTTGGGCTCCAATGCAAGGGGACAGGAAGCCGACAGGATGCTCTATGGTTTCACCTTCATGAAAAAGTTTATTCCAATCTTTGTTAGGACCACCGACAACTGCAAAAAACTTTCCAGCACATTGTATGAATAAATGACAAGTGTCATGGACCATAAAAAAATATCTCAAAAGAGAATAAAAACTGTTCACAGAATATCAAAATGCAATACATGTTATGCAAAGTATCAGCCAGATGCGTGTGACCACTCAGACTCTGAAGTTTCCACACGATGTAACAGAAAACTGACTTAATTGAAAGTGGTCACTTCGATAGAGAGTCATCACACTGAAAATTTAAATATAAATGATTGTGTGATATTCAAAGTGAAGTGTTCATGCCATGACTAATATTACCACACTAGAATCATAAGTTGACAAATAACTTACAATCTCCCCTTTTGTCAAACTTATGAACAAAGCACAATCTTTTCAATTACAAACTTGTCTGTAAATACCAACAATCAATCAACAAGAGACAAAAGCACAAACAACACAAAAGCATATCTCATTAAAGGCATAATCATCAAGACATAGAGACATGAATGAAACAAAGACAATAACAAACAAATAACAAAATTTCTCCCCCTCAATTAGTATACTCCCCCTAAGTAACTAAACAAAGTCACATTCAAGTGATTATCAATTTAGAGCAAAAAGAGGGTTAGTATAGTTCAAAAACAAACAAATAACATAATTTGTTCTCTGCACATGAAAGAACAACATCAACAAGTAACAACTTAAACAAAAATGCAATTTTAAAAAAATAGTAACTTAAAGAGAAATTTACTGCACGAACCACAATGACTTAAGCAAAAACTTAACATTTTCACCAACACACAATTTGCACTAAGTCATACAAGACCAGAACTAAATAACTCCCCTCAAAATGTAAACTCCCCCTAAGTAAATGCACCAACTCACATACAAGAGATAAACAATTAGGAGTATACAGGGGTTAGTTCAGTTCCCAATATCAAGGCCAAACAAAAATAAAAAAAATGCAAGACAAACAATAAAAAGGTTTGCTGCATGGATCTCTACATCAACAAACACAAGAATAAGCTTCATCATAACTTATAATAAAAAATCTATTCATAAACATATTAAAACACAAGAAACAA